ATGGAGTCATGTCGTACAGTATGCAAATCAACCGGGGAAACTGATGGGGAATACTGGAAGGATTCTTTCAGTTTGAGGTACTCCACGTACTGTAGTAGAGGGGACTGTACGGAGGAGAATGGATAGGTATGCTAAGAATTGGCGCTGAAGAAGACTAGACAGAAGTACCGAACAAGACACTAGGCGGGATCGGGATTCGATATCCATTGGTAAAGAAATATTGCTCCTTAGCCGCTCAACGCCGGAAAAATGTCAACCAATTTGATCCACAGGCAATATCCATGAAAGCACGTCGAAGCACAGATGAGTATGAGTTACCACTGCATGGGCAGCAATTCGAACTGACAGCCGCGATCCCCCGGTGTTTGGAAAAACAAAAGATTTTTACTGGGAAGCGACTGGCTGCCAAAGACCGTCTCTAATGACGAGCGGGCCCAAAGCGGACACTGCTAATGGCGTCCCAGGAACTCCATCCCCGGGCCTAAGTGGCTGTTAGAGTCCTGACTAACCACAAACTAGTTGATCTGTTAATAAAGCGACTCCCCATTCTGCTATTATGGCTCTGGTGCTCTTGTCATTTTGTAAAAATATCCGTCGAGTACTGTGTAGATTGGGGACTGCTAATCATCCTGGCAGATTAACCAATGTGGGCTTTTGGTTGAGAGTTGATTCCTCCCAGGCAGGCTATAATAAACATTCGTTGTAGATGTGCGTTTGATGGCCATCTGAGCAACGACTCTATGGACATCGAGTCTGAACTTTAGGGTGTCTAATCTAGAACCAGCGTTCCAGTGCTTTGGCTATGGAGCAACCATCCGTAAGCCACGGTGCTTTTGAATGGTATCCCCCGAACAAAGCCTACCTACTAGTAGAGCAGAAGGCTTGTGGAGTGGTTAAAACGATCTACAACTATGGGTAAATATGAGGAAAATGTCCATGCGAATAATGGCTGCCGAAAAAAAAAGGAATAATTTCGATAAATAAGGAGGAGATAAATCCATATGACAACTATAGTAATTTACAAAAAGAAATAAATAAAAGAAGTACGGTAATGCCCTACTACTGCATGTCCTTGCCTCAGAGATGCAGCCCGCAGCTCTGGACCGGTGCTCTTTTTAGTAGCTGTAGACTATCTTGCGTTTCGAGTTTGATGCGCTCCAAGGATCATCCATGTTGGCGGGTCATCCACTAAGTCGGAGTCTCAGATGGCCAAATCGGGACGGGCCTTCGATTCGATGGCAGCTTGACTATGAGAGAGGGGTCTCGAAAAAAAATAAAATAAAATATTAATGAAAAATAAGGAAATAATAATAATGAATTTTAGAAAAAAAGTCCCAGATGGCGCTTCTAGTCCTTGTGGTCTATATTCGATCGCTATCAATATCCAGAGGCACAGGCATTCCATTCTCTCATCGCCAACACTGAAAAACCTACCATTTCCCCCGTCTCAGAACTCCAATCCTTCTTCTTCTCATCTGCTTCTTCTCTCCTTGAGGATATCGAGTGTTCCCTTGAGCTATTGGGTGACCTCTCATCTGTCAATCATCGATTGTCCTTTCTCTTGACTTGACTTCGTGTCACCATTCTCATTTACCGTACATATCCCCGGAGCAGAAAACAAAGAAAAGGGCCAAGTACTCTTAATCTAGTCCCAACTCCGTTGCTGCTTGTCACACCCGCCCGTCTGTGTGACGAAATCAGTTGCCAGCATCCATCTTGCAGCATCTCCCACCTTCCCGGGCCGACCTTGATTGCTTGCTCTCGAACCCCGTTGGGTGTTTGATCTCCGTTCTCGTCTGGGTGCATCCTGTGAGTAGCATGCCGTCACTTGTCACGCATATTACCCCCTCTCAACTCTGTTTGATGGGCGTTGATCTGCCTCGAAATGGCTTGTCTGCCTTCAGAAGCAAACTACAGCAGATGGCGGGGTCATGGACTCGAACCGCTGTGCTGGCTTTCACTTGCGTCTGGCCGTTCTTATTTCAATTTTGGCCTTTTCTCATTGCTGTATCTTGTTTCCTGTTGAGGCTTCTGGCATGCTGCACCTTTCCAAGTGTCAAACCAAAGCTAATCAGCGGCCTTTGGCGTCCTGCCATGGCTTCAGCAGACCTGGATCTCTGCAGCCTCATCACCATCTCGGATCAACTGGTTCTGCGCTCGTTGGAAGATAGAACAAAGACCTCCAAGACAACATATACTGCCGCCATCGCAGCTATATACTCGCCCAGAACTCGACGGCATCTTCATGTGTTGAGCACCTCGGAGCAATTCAGTAACCGTACTGCCTGAGCAACCTTCAACTCCAGATTATCCAACAATACACCTGCTCAATCGCGACCTGCGTTACCTTCGTTAACATCAACCTCTCAAATTGCACAATGGTGTTCAGCGCACCTGCCCCTGGGGTGGGCTCCAGCAAAAGGCCAGCGTCATGCATGCAGGACGATGTCAACGGCTGGGATAATGTCCCGGTAAGTGAGACCGGTATTGAAAAGACATATGGAGCTGACTCGTGTCCTACATAGCCCATGGGTCTATCCGTGCGTTCGTCGATCAACATCCCTTATGCCCACTACGCCATGATCTATCTGGACAACATGGGTAGACTCAAGGTAACGGAATCTCCGTCTATCCAGGAGCAAAACGGGACTGTTTTCACACCCGAAGTCCGTGAAAGATTTTTGGAAATCCTCGGTGCCAAGATCGGGTATCAGCGCCCCATGGTTCGAAGTATGTAGATCCTCTGCACCAAGTGCGATATTCCCGCTGATCTCATTTGAACAGGGCTGTCAGGTGCCGGTGCTACACCATATAGCTATGATCCTCAACAACCGCTTGGTCACTTGCCCTACCGTCAGAATAAGCGGCGCAGAAATTCTCCAGCCCATTCTATGTACGGTGCGCCGCCATCCGTTCAGTTCTCAGGGCCCGTTGAGGAGACGCCCTCTTGTGGATCAGTGGACATGGTCGGGCTCGAAATCGGTGATACTCCTAAAGTTCTCGACTACTATGAGAGATCCTTGAAGCATTTCCAGCAGCTCAACTGCCGTCAGATCGCAAAGGCATTCATTAAGTTCATCGAGCCAAGAAAGCAAGTCAAGCACCCTTACAACGGAGGTAAACCCCCCGCGGGAGCCCCTCCAGGTAAGAAGGGCGACCCAGAAAAGACAAAGCCCGATTGGTGGCCCGCCGATGTGGTTCACAAGGAGCCTGACCATCTTCGAAAGGATCGTACGTGAACCTCCCCAGAAAATCTCTTGTGTCAAGTAACTTGCTGACATATTTAGAACGCCTGTCTCTGTTGATTCATATCATCCGCAAGCTTGGAAGATTCGGTATTACCACGGATCAATTGCAGGAAATTGCCCACGACTGCAAGCGGCAGCTCAGAGGCCCACACAGACTCCAAATCTTGGACGAGGTCTTCAGAGTGAGGAGGATGGAAGAGCGCTATGAAAGAGGAGAAGTTGGTACGTGTGGCATCTCCTGTCCATAGAACTCATTTTGACAGCTGTTGACGATCCCTCAGATGCCAACACGATCGTATATGTTGTCAACCGAGAGTCGAACCCGAAAGAGAAAGATGCTGAGTCCAATGTGGATCCGGACCAGAAGCATGAACAAGAAGACGAAAATGCGGATGAGGCACTGCCCATTCACCACTCTGAGGTGAACTCAACCAGCCTGATGTCGAGCTCAGTCGAACACATGGGCATGGCGGCACCAAGTCGCCCAATGAATATGGGAGATGATAGGAACCAGTTGTTTCCTTTACCCGAGTCATTGAGCTTCGGCGAGACACCCCGGGATGATCGGACCTTCTTTCCCACGACATCTGAGTATACCGAAGATTATGCATCTCAGCAGATGCTCAGAACCCCTGCAACAACGGCACTGGTCAGCCCGAATGAGACACCTGCCGCTTTCGATTATTTGACACACGCACCCATCACCTCTTCTGCTCCGGAGCCGATTTCCCACCACCGCCACGCACCCCTGCCCATGCAGCACTCGGCTAGCTTCGACCCTTGGACGCCTTCGTTCCGACAGAATCTCTTCAACCCAATGGAGTATGGTACTACACCCAGTCACGCCATGTCTCAGCCTACTATGTCATATCAGCTTCCCATGACCCCGACGTCTCATCCCCAGGAAATGCCTCACATGACTCACGGCCTGCCGAATCTGCCTCAAGACAGGCCTTCAAGCATGGATGGCATGAGCATGAGAGGCCCTTCTTTCCGCACAGGATCTTTGAGTCATCCTCGTGATCCATCGCAGCAGGCCCCTCATTCTAGCTGATATGGCCACAAGTGGATGGCTCGGGAGGGTTGGACTCAAAATAGACCACATGCATGATATTAAATGATTGATCCTCGACCACTGCTTTGACTTTCCTGCAGCCCTGGAGTTCGGTTCACTGATGATTGTTTTGCCGACTTTTCTTCTGCTTCTTTCTCAGTCCCTGACCTTGTTGTCAATGCGGACTTAGCCAGGCGGCTCGTTCCACGTCAAGTGACTGCCATGACACATCGAACGCTGGAAGCTCCGTGGTTTTATATGGCAGGTGCCTGTCAATGACTTCCCAATTCTTTGTTTAGTATATATACTCGTTGCTTGTTCTATGTTTGACTATGTTTCTTCTTTATACATACGTTCAAAAATTCTGTTGGAGATGGCGCCAGATGGCGTGAGATGCAAATATGGGTGATGTTCTTGTGTTTGCTCATTTCACTTTTTCTTTCCTAATTATGATTTACACAATTGGCAGCGAGGCGCTTGTGGCAAAGCTCGTTCTCTTTGGACGTCGATCGGCTGAATGAGAGGTAACGAGGCATGAAGGTGTTTCATTATAACAGCGATTGCTTTCTGGATTAGTTTTGTCGTTCAAAATACAATGATCACTATATTTGATTTTTGGCCTTATAAAGTGTAGGGCCGTACAGAGTAGTAGTTTGAAGGATGGATCTAAACGCGCGGCAAGTGGCGCTAGTCCGTATTCAGTTGGCGCGAGTGTTGACGCCTTCCCGCCGCTGAGAGCCTCCAAAGAGCTGCATGAGGGACGGCAATAAAGAGCCGGTATCGCCTCTCTCCACCGGTCTACGACGCCGAACAGATAAGAATGAACTGAGGATTCGACAGACGGCATATCACTGTGCGACAAGTTTCCCCAACTGTTCATCCAGCGGGTTCGCGCCGCGATTCGATGGCCGTTGGCACGGAGGTCACATCTCCTCACGCCGCAAACTCGAAGCGTTCGGCCATCGGCGACCTCTGCGACGAGACCAGCTTTCGACAACGGCTTTTCAGCAGCCTCATCTTCTTCTCTTGAACGCGTCGAGGTCGTAAATTGGATACAAAGGTATTGCGTCATGGCTTTCCCGGTTTGGAGTTCGATATGCGTGAGCACTTTGAGTTCTGGCATTATCTTCTCTCTCTGTTGTGTTGCTTCGCAGTTGACAGTCTCTCTCCATTAGCTTCTCAAACTAACTGCGTTGTTACGCCCTCCGAACTATTATTGGAGGTCGGCCTTTCTAGGATACCTGATTCACCAGCTTCCTTTCCTTAATCCATAAATCAACATCCATCTCCGAAGAAGACGATAAACGAACGACTACGACTTGACGTTCCTGGTGAAAAGGTTCTGAGATCTTTCAATTTCTTTATCACAACGTTACCTGGAATGGCAGGCCCAGCGAACCCGTTCGCTGGCCTCGCCCAGAAAGATGGAACAACGGCCCAGGCGGGTCGAGGGCGCGGTGGATCATTCAGTCGGGCTACTCCCTACCAGTCCAAATCATCCAACGCGCGTGGCCGAGGCCGAGGAGCCTCGTCGGCAATGAGATCTCTCCGTGGTCATGGCCGAGGCGCTGGTCCCGCGACTAACACCTGGCGCAAACCGGACTCAAACGTGGCTCCCGCAGGAGCTGCCGCATCGCCTTTCTCCCAGTTGAAGCAGAGCCAACCCTCTTCTTCTCCATTTGGTGGACAGGCTCCGCAGCAGAAACCGGCATTTCCTGGGTTTGCGAATGGCTCATCTGGTGCATTTGGGGCAGCCTCTGGATTTTCTGGGAGTATGGTCGATTCTAGCAGAGACCCTCGACTACAATTTCCGTCAAATGGAACGACTGGTGTGAACGGCTCTGCTGTGCCAGTGGAAGACATGGCAATTTTGAACAGTTACAATGACCGATATGAAAAGGTAGGACATTCTTCCATACTGGATCTTCACCAGTGCCCAGGGATTCTGGACTGACAGCTTGCAGCTCAAGCTTGATAGGGCGAAGCAAAGGGAACAGGCAATCAGGAAAGGGCAGATGGCGGATCCCAATCAACCTACTTCCCTGAATCAAGCAATTACACCCGTCGGCACCTGCACGAGCATGTGTCCCGAGTTTGAGCGGGTTGAGCGCATCGTCCAGAAGATGGTAGACAAAAGCGAAAAGGTATAGACAGATGATGTCGTATAGGTGCTTATCCAAGAGCTGACTGTCTGTAGTTTCTTCATCCTGCGACAAACACATTGCAGAATATGGAAACGAAAATGCTCAAACGCTTCAGAAGATCAGCTGCCGGCTACGACGAACAGCTTCCTTCCGATATTCGCACACCGAAGGCACTCCTTCAGTCAACCAACTATCTGATTCGACATATCCTTGGTGGTTCTGATCCTCTTGGCTTGATTCACAAGTTTGTCTGGGATCGGACACGATCGATTCGTAATGATTTCTCCGTGCAGCAGCTCACCCAGGAGGAGGACGTGAAGATAGCAGTCACATGCCTGGAGAGAATAGCCCGGTTCCACATAGTGTCTCTTCACCTACTCTCTAGTCCTGCGAACGAAGAGCCTTTTGACCGCCACCAGGAACGAGAACAACTCAACAATACCATGTTGTCGCTGATGTACTATTACGACGACAATCGAGGGCGCATTGTGTTTCCCAACGAGGACGAGTTCCGGGCCTATTACATTATCTTCTCCATTCACGACCAGCGACCGGATTTAGAAGCCCGCGTCCAGAAATGGCCTGCAGAGCTACGCAGTTCGCCTCGGGTTCAAGTAGCCCTTGAATTGTTCGCCGCTGCTGGCAACACATGGGAGTATCAAGGCACCCTAGATGCCAAACGACCCAACGCCATTGCACAGGGTTTCTACGCACGCTTTTTTAACTTGGTTGATTCTCCAGCTGTCTCGTATCTGATGGCCTGTGTTGCCGAAACCTATTTCAACCACATGCGCCAAACGGCTATCCGTTCAATATGGAAAGGATACTGTCGTTATCCCGCTTCTCAACAGCACAAGAATGAGGAGTGGACCGTCGACGAACTGACCAAAGTCTTACACTTTGATGAAGACAGCCAAACAATCGGATTCTGTGAAGAGCAAGATCTGCAGTTTGCTGAAAATTCTCATGGTAATCTTTATCTCAACTGGGGCAACCGTCCGGTTGACTCGATTGGTACGTGTGATCTCGACAACATTCTCGCCTTCTTTCCTTCGTTCACTGGCTCTGTTTTCGCCCCACCGGATTACGGCAGTTATACTATTAGGCGTCTCAATGTCGGCCCTATCTGAMTTCGACTGACTCATTGAATTCATAGCCTTCCAGCCGTCTTCCGAACACTCATTCTCAGAAAAGTATGTCGAGTCGAAGCGAGCAGGCAGAAGCATGGTTGCGATTATACTCGGCTTGAATATAAAAGAAGCGGCAACTCTAGGAATGATCGACAGCTCTTTTCTGCCGCAGCGCTCACTGGCACTACCAGCCCCCGAGCCAGAAGCGCCCACAGACGATGATGCTCTCTTTGTGAGTGACGACGACAATGAAATGCGACCTCCAGCCATCCAAACGAACGGTACTGTCTCGCAGGGTGGTGTCTTTACTGAGTCTCCCGCATCAGCTTCAAGCCTGCGCAACGCATTCACAGAACTTTCACAGAGTACAACAAATGCAGAAGCGACACCTACGCAAAGCAATCCGATTTCTTCGATTACACAAACGACCAATATAACCCAAACTCCCGAGCCGGCCAAGACCTTTTCGTCCTTGTTCTCTGGCACTAGTTCAGCCGGTGCCACAACGGCGCCCACAGTTGCGCCTTCTAACCCCTTTGCTAGCATATCTTCGCCCTTTACGCCGTTTAAGACTCCGGTGACTGAGCAGAAGGCCCCAACCTTGCCTGCTGCATCCAGTAGTCAGCAACCAACCTCGATCTTTTCGACCGGAACATACAATTTTACCCCAGGAAAGCCTGACACAACCCCTGCATCAGCTACTTCCCAGTTCAAAGTACCAAACCTCTTGCAACCCTCTACAGCACCTACGGCTTCACCGCTCGGCCTTCTTCAAACACCATCAGTATTTAGACCTGATCAGGCTCCTGCCCAGACCTCTGCTCAGCCCTCGACAAGCATTTTTGATACTGGCAAACCATCCTCTGCTCCGCAGTTTTCAAGCTCTGTCTTCAGTCTCGCTGGTCAGAATGCTCTTCCCGGAAAATCGGAAGCTGAAAAGCCTCAACCAAGTCTTTTCAATCCTGCGGAGACCACGTCCCCACCGTCTCCATTTGCGCAAGCAAGTAACCTATTCGCTCCAGCGAAAGTCGGTATGTTCTTCTGTCCTACGACGTCGTCCATGGCATAGAATCATTGTGAATTCTAACAATCTCGACAGATTCACCGGCAGCTGTCCACCCTGTTCATTCAACCAATGTTTTCTCATTTGCGAAGCCCGAGATACAGGCACCCAAACAGAAACCAGCCGATGCGATTGAGAGTTTGAAGTCTCCACAGGAAAAGGAAGTCCTGGAACAGAATGCACCAGCAGACGAACCTGTGCCGCCTCGTGTGGAAGATGTCGCTGAGCAGCAGCAACCTCGGCCAGTATTCCTAAAGCCTAGCTCACCTGAACCTGTTAGCGCCACATTGCCCTCTCCTGCAGAACCTAGCACAGTGGGTGTTGTTCAAGAAGATGTTTCCGTTCGCGTCTCCCCCGAGCCGACCTCAAAGGAAGACGAAAACCCAGGTGAGTTGCACTTTTGGTCACATCCATTGCCGTTCCTTTTACCTGTCGGGTCTCTCTGACATGAATTTAGCGTTAGAAGATGAACGACGTCTTGCGTGGCTAGATACCCTGAAAGAAGCTGCCGATAAAAGGCGACAGACCTCCTCAACAAGTCGCAAGCGCATTCTCCACGAAGAAGATGAACAAGAATTGAAACAGAGCGAGCCAAAGGCGCCCAAAATAGCCAAACCTGAGGCTCCTACTCCACGCAAAGTGTCTATGGCATTGTCTTCGATTAAACCTCTTCCCAAACTTCCCATATTGGAACAGATTGAGGCCATGACAGCTCGAAAGCCTACAAAGGAGGAGAAACCTGAAGTTCCAAAGCCTCGCCAAGTTGACGAAGATGAACTCCTCCTTTCCGCTGCCCGAATTGCCGCAGAATCACTCAGGAGCGGGCCGAGGCTTCTCGACCATTGGTCGACATACCCTGAGCCTCGAAGCTCCGTTTTCAGCCCGCGCAGCAGCTTTTCATCTTCGCACTCTTTCTCCCGAAGTCAGTCGCCGAATTCATACCAAGTCAATGGATACGATGTTGCTCTTGCCCCTGATAGAGACTTGGGACTAGGACGTACCCTGTCCCGAACGGAACAGAGAATTCGCCTTACCGGGGGCAAGGGCCTAGCATATAAGCCGCTGAACTTCACACCGGAGAAGAAAAGTAAAGGAGCAGGCAAGAAATAGGTGTTGTCATAACCTTCTGTTCATAATCTCGAAGGCTCACTTCAGCCTTGCAGTTTTGAAGCGTGAAACCGCCTGCAAAACAGCCCATGGCGATCTTCTGTTTTGCTGTAAACTTTTTTTGTCAACTCTCATCTCGATTGCATTATGCGACGGCGTTTTCGGCGGATTTTGGTCTTCTGATAAGGGATGTATCTGCTACATTTTGGAGTTTAGCAGCCGGCGCTGGAAGTGTGTCGTACATAACTGCATTATAAGAATACCCATATTCTGCAACGAAATATTTCTTCAAGCACATAGACCTGGGAGTTGACTAGCGAGAGACGATCACTAGATATCGATCGTGCGGATGCCTCAGGTATCTTTGAGTCACATGATCCCATATTCGGTTTCCCATGGGCGCATGTATTGTCCTTTCACATCTTGTAACTGAGAACTTCTAAACAAGACATATCCAAGCTATCTTGCTGACTTGACTGCTCAGAGATGGACAGTTAAGTCATTAATTCTGCACAATTTTCTCTACCAAGGTCCACAGTATTTTTTATGTTGGACTACTCCAACGGCATTTCGCCTCTTCCTCTCTGACCAGGCATCTAACTACAACCTCGGCTCTGCCAAGAGCCAGGAAGGCAATCCCTCCCTTGTACTTAGCGCAGGTATTTAGGCTTCAACACAGAGGAATGCGAATCGCCACATTACAATTCGCCCCCAGGGTGGGCGACGTCGACGGTAACATCAAAAGGGCCAACGAGTTGCTGAACGGCGGCAATGTGGTCGGGGGCGCTCAAGCCGGGATTGAGAGCCTGAAGCCTGACCTCCTGGTGTTGCCGGAACTGGCTCTGACGGGTGAGTACCCAGGAACAGGAGGCAGTGGACTCTAGTTTCGTGATGTCCCTATCCGATCTGTAATGGTGACATGTTCTTGATGGCTAGGGTACAATTTTCCCTCGCTGGAAGCCATCCGGCCGTTCCTTGAGCCGGCGGGGAAGGGTGTATCAGCTGCGTGGGCCCGTGAGACAGCTACGCGTCTCAGGTGTAAGGTGTGCGTGGGGTATCCCGAGATTGAAATAGCGGCAGGTGGGGACTGTAGCGCGCAACGGCAGGAGAAGTACTACAATTCCTTGCTTGTTGTGGATGAGGAGGGGGAGGTGCTGCTGAATTACCGCAAGACGTTCCTCTACTTCACGGATGAGACGTGGGCGTTTGAAGGTACCGCGGAGCGAGGGTTCCACGAGCTCGTCTTTAACTTCGGTTCCTCTGGAGAAGATGTGCTGAAGTCTCGGGTGGCTACGTCGTTTGGGATATGTATGGATATCAACCCATATAAATTTGAAGCTCCCTTCACGGCTTGGGAGTTCGCAAATCGGGTCATCGACTCCAAGTCCCAGCTGGTTATTCTGTCGATGGCCTGGACGACGTTTATGAGCCGCGAGGATCTGGATGCGCTGGCTGATAAGCCGGATTTGGAAACGTTTAATTACTGGATACAGAGATTTTGGCCTCTAGTCAGGCAGAAGATGCGACACGATCTTGATTTAGGATCTGATGGCCATGAGACCGAATGTGCAACGGAAAAGAAGATTGTCATTGTCTTTGGGAATAGGTGTGGAGAGGAGGGATCGACGCGCTATGCGGGGACAAGTGCGATTATCGCTATTACGCAGCGCCCGTGGTTGGTGCGGGAGGGCGACGCTGGGGAGGAGTTACCGTTCGATGTGAAGATCCTTTGCTGGGATATACTGGGTGCGACGACCGAGGGCATTTGCTTTGCTGATACTACAGCTGATCCGAAGACGGTGTTTGGATTGGTTAAGGCGTCGCGGACGTGAGGGTTGCAGCTTCTTTTGCCGCGCTATAGTATACTGTCTGGGGTATTCTGACGGTGTATATGATGAGACATCTACTGTTGAGCATTGGCGAATAAGACTTCCAGATTGGTCAAATGATTTCGACTCTGTCTGCTCGATGTGTTGGAATACTTGATATGATATCAGAACTGGCCAAATTTAGGCAGCGATCTCTGGATATCTGATTCTCTTTGATGTGAAGCAGCCCGAAGTCAATACGGTTAACCTTGCCTCAAGCGGCAGCAATCATGTGAATGGTTGATAACCATCCTCCTGTATCCATGTGACAAATGGAAGACGCCATTCCTAGACCACGAATATGAGAATCTACTGCTTCGCAGATTTATCTAGACAAGTATGCGCGAGCGATTCATCTATGCCTGCCCCTTGAGAGAACATATTAGTACTACCTACCCATGCGAGACTGGCGTCCATACCCTACTTGGACGGACCCGGATGGCGGCGATGACGGCCTATCTCATGACCGATTCATCAGCAACCTATCAGACGGTCTGTCTCAAGCCAAACAAGGAGGCGTATTAAAACAAATGCAACCTTCAGAGGGAAGCTAGAGCAAAATGATCTTCGAGAGTTAGCTTGAAGACTTTGATCGACACTGCGGAAAGCACCATCCGGGTTAAGTGGGAAAGTTTGGTTGTAATGCGAATGTGCATGTGACACGAAAGGTCAGATGGAGTCGCAGTTGAGGTAAACCGAAATTGAGTAGGTATTTGCAGACAAGCAATAGCTGAACAAGCGCGAGCCACAGATATCAGGTGTGAAGCAAGTTCAGACTGTGTCTGTATCTGAGGATCTGCAACCACGCACGTTGGTCGAGAATCGAGAGACAGAGACCATCAGAGACATGGCAAGGCATGGCATGCATCGGCGTACATCCCGCTACTGTACGATGGCGTTCTCCAGATGGACCGTGCTCCCTACGAGGACCCTAAAGGAGGGTCGGCCCGACCGGGATGAGCACTGAAGGAGTGTAGATACGGAGTACTACTAAAGGTATGATGGTATCCAGTCTCTTGAGACCAGTAGTGGTTGTTGAAAACGGCCGCGAGTCAGTGCATTCACTAGGTCTGATAGACGAGGCATGGTATCCTCCGTGTGATCGTCATGTCCCTCAAATAACCAGGAAACTTCCATACAATTGTTTGACTGTCATCATGCTGATTTGGTATGATAAATAACCAAAAGACTTAAAAGTCACACGTGATCCCGGGACAACCCCTCCTCCGGCAACCGCCCAGAGTAATTCGAGCAACCAATCAGCGATGAGAAAAGCGACATTGGCAGAGGAGGGGGCACGGGATTGGAGCACATGACATCCAAGGACGAAAAGGGAGGGTAGTAAAAGAGATAGCTAATGGGAGAGATATTGAATGCCGGGCAAGAGTTGACTCCCCTTCATTAACAGCGTGGGAAGGGGAAGTTCCGATGGAGACAGCAAAAAACCATTCTGCTGGCTCTTGAACGGACCAAGTCAGGTGACTTTTATACGCTTCTGGTCGTTACGCCTCACCGGACGACCGCCGCCTCGACTGTTCTGCTCCCATTATTGTCCCTCGCCACGTGAGCGCTTCTCTCTACTACTCGACTCTACTCCTCCAAATATCCCTTCTTTCTATGGTAAAAGCCGCCACTTCTTTCAGTTCGTTCTCTGATCCGGTCCGTCCGTTGTCTTTGCATTGGACGTCTCCTTATTGAGTCTTTCCTCGCGATCAAATTCGATTCTTGGTCTTCGCGATCGAACTACGATATACCTGCCTCTTGTTGTTGCCCGTGGCAGGTGACTTGCTGTCAGGTGATAGACAGACCATCCCAAGGTACAGTGAGCTCCCTCCTTCTATTCGCGACTCCTATCTTTCATTGCATCTTCCCTCTGCCGTACTCCACTACTTCAGAAGCTTCAATAAGACCCCAGAAGCATCTCACCATGCCCTTTTCTGGGCCTCTGCCTCGTCCGCCGTGAGCCGGTTGAGGTCGATTTTGTGATGCTATCCTCTCTTCCCCTGTTACCTCGGTCGCAGAGCCGTCATGACGCGTTTCTGATGTCGACTATGCGACCATGAGGTTTTCTTTTCTGATTGATGGGTTGCGCATCAACTGGCTTGTCGGCGCACATTGATTTCATCGATGTAATTGTGTATTGCATGTTCCTGGGATTTCATGGTCATCCAATGTCTGTTTTGATGCTATGGTGCGGAGACCAGCGCGTCCAGCCTCACGCGTCTTAGTTATATTCGCTCCTCGCTTCTCACTTCTCAGCATATCAATATCTTCTTTTCGGTGGATGTTTACTCGCGAGAAATATTCTCTTTTTCCTTCCTCACTGCCCTGCATTATTTATTTTCTCCTCGCTGTTAAAACTCATTACTTGGCTCTGACTCACCAAAACCTGGACCGCAGGGAAGTTCCTAATGCTACATCTCTTTTGATAGCTGTCTGAGGAAACCTATCTTGAATCAATACATCTGCTCTGTCTAAAGGGTCGGTTTGGTCCCTGGATATGCACTATCATGGCCGTTGCTGACTCGGTCAACCTGCAGGGTACCAACCTTGCATCCTACATCATGTCTGACCAATCGCTGGGTGCGTCGGATAGTAATATCACAAACAAGCGAAAGCGCGAGGGTGATGACAGCGCGGGCCCGGATCCTCAGCGCCTGAACCGCGCTTCCAACGGAAGTAGTGGCAGTATGCCTGGCCCGGATCCTCAGAACAACTTCGCACACAGCTCTCTTACTTCCTATGATGCTCACGGTCTCCCTACCTCTACTTCGGAGCTCAACATTGACCAGCAGATCCTCCAACATGTCGGACCACAGAACGGTATCTCCGATGAGAATGCTCTCACTGCCAAAGCCGCATTGGCCGCGCACAATCCTCAAAACAAATATCCGCCTCCCCCTGAACCTTCTTTCGACGCCAATAATCTCGCTCATGGGTTGACATTCGGAGATGATATGGGTCAGGCTATGGGCCCTACTCATGGACACAATTCGACCGCCGCAGCTGTCTACGCTGCGCGCGAAGCCCAGAGTATGAATCAGAAACCTTCCGTAGGTTCTCCTGAGTGGCACCAAATTCGCAAGAATAATCACAAAGAGGGTAAGCTGCGGGTGTTGTTTTATGGGGTGATTTTTGAGCTAATTCGATTTCAGTGGAACGCCGGCGTCGTGAAGCCATCAACGAGGGTATTAATCAGTTGGCGCGTCTGGTCCCCAACTGTGACAAGAACAAAGGTGCCATCCTACAGCGTACAATCGAGTACATCTGCCAGCTACACGATGAGAAGAAAACGATGAGCGAACGGTGGGAGCAAAACAACATGACTACAAGCCATGCTATCAACGAGATCAGCGCTCAGAATTCCAAGTTGAAATTGGAAGTCAACCGCCGTGGAGATATCGCACAAAAGTGGCTTCAGCGCTGTCGCGACGCAGGTCTCGAGTTCGACGACTACAACGACGCCGAAGAGCTCGAACCTCTTGAGGTCGACCAAGGCCAGGTCTGAAGGCTGAATTGCGCTTCTGGATAGATGACTTCCCCTTTACTTCTCTATCTCATGGTCATACATGTGCTACGATCTTTTCTTGTTCGGAGGCTGAGATTCCAACATACCCGCTCTTTCTCTCCGTTAGTTCGTTTTCAGTTTCATTCCATTTTAACAAGCCCTGCGAGAAGCCGTGATTTGGGCTCGGTTGCAGGTGCCGTCTTGATGATTTTCTGATGTCTTCCATCAAGTCACCGCCTCTGGAAGAAGACAGGTGACCAATGATCTACAACCTTAATTGTCCAGCCCGGAGTCGTTTGCCTGGCGCTTCGTGATTTCTCGTTTCCGTCGTCTGCCTTCTCGCGCGTATCTTTTCCTCTTGTGTGTGTTAATTTTTTTTTTATTTTTTTTTTTTTTTCCTATCTTAAGGGTCGGCGAAACCAGGGTTGGGAATGGAGCCTGCGATATCGCGTTATGGGAATTGCAAATTCGATCTCTCAGATTTACACAGGGCCATTTCGTAGTTATGATCTTGTTTCTCGAAAGCCAAATGACAAAGCGCTGTTCATGGAAGATTCCACTCCCTCGTCGTCAATGACAAGCTTAACTCATGAGGCAATCTTAAGGCAATCTTACAAGAATAGCCACGATAGTGAGTTGATTTCACTGATGGGAATGAAAACATCAGAATATGTCTGAATTGTCCAAAAATATGCGAAGAGAAAGTAAAGGCACATATCGGATGCAGACAGGCTACTGTCTCAAAACAAACTGCTCTTCCGCGACAACCGAGGGCGACCGCCCTCCTCGCCACGCCACTACCTACTCTGTACTCTACAGATTGGACGAAGCGGTAACAGAGGACCCAGAGCTGGTCCCGACATTCTTCACCGTCACTGTAGCGCCGGACTGGCCGGTGATCCTCACGTCCACGGTATCCTGTCCAAACCCACTGCTCTGCTCGAAGAAGTTGTAGGAGGTTCTCGTGKTCCCCTGCCAGGTCTTCCCGCCGTCGGTGCTCACCTCGAGCTTCGCGACGGGCTCGGCGGCATTGACGACCTGCATGGAGAACCAGTAGCGCGAGGTCCCCTCCTTGTTCTTGAGGACGAGGGGTGAGGTGATGCCGCAGGGGACAAAGGACCAGGTGATGTCGATGATGCCCTTGGAGACATCGGCTAGCTGGGTGAAGGCGTCCTGGAAGAGGTCGAGGTGGTTGGCGTCGCATTCGGGGCATTCGTCAACGACCTGGGCGATGTTAGTTGGGGATCGTATGACATGATTGCCAGAAGAAGAGACGTACCATTGCTTTGATGGTTTTACCGTTGGGTCCTTTCACGGAGACACAGGCACCGCATTCCGCGGCGTTGTTCCATGCGGCGCCTGAGTAGGCCGTTCCGAAGAGGCCGGAGGGAAGCGTGTAGCCTGTGAACGAGCAGGTTCCGCCGGAGACGTTCCCGCCGTAGAAGGTGGCTGTACCGGACTTGCTGGCGCCTGACGAGGAGCTGCTGCTGCTGGAGGAAGATGTAGCAACAGCTGCCTTGTCAATGGTCTGCGGAGCGGCTGTTGGAGACTCAACAGGGGCTGCCGGAACGATGGCTTGTTCCTGGGTAGCGGTAGAAGAGGGTAGAGCAGATGTCGTTGACGACGAGGAAGAGGAAGCATCGGGAGTGACCTCAGTCACAGTGGGTACCACGGGCCAGGGGGACTGGGAAGGAGCCTCTGGCATGGACGAAGTTGCTTTATCTGTCGTTGAGACGTGGTGGGCGCCCTTGGTGTACTTGGGACGACACCGACCTTGAGAGCGCTCGTACATAGGGCTCGCAGAGACCGATGCGGCCGCGACCAGAGCGGCAACGCATAGACTGGTGAGACGCTGATATATCATTGTTGGATGCTGTTATGCCTTGGAGGCGAAGAAGCTAGAATGGAAAAAAAGAGTGCAGAGTCTGTGGTAGACTGCTATTCAGATGCAAAGCGTGACTGGAGACTTTGCTCCTGTTGCAAGTAATGAATGGACACCGGGGCTCAGATCCCAGAAATGAATGTAGTTGCTGTACCAGACAGAAAACTCAAAGAGTGACTTGAAGAGCAGTGCAAAGAAAGAGAGCAAGAAAAATAGAGGACCTTCAAGTATATATCAATCGAGAAGAAAGGAGGGTAGAGTCCTCCTCCGTGGGCTGAGTGACCGGCCATATTGCCTGAGACTGAGAGAGACTCGATAGTGAAACAATAATCTAACGCAATATAATAAGATGAACAATTTGATGAATGCAGACATTAGCGCAAAACGTGTAATGAATCAGAAGCCCTAAAGCACCCAGTTGTTTGGCGAGTTGGAAGCCACGGCTTGCTAGCGGAATGAATGAATCGTAAAGTCCGAAACGTCCAGCGAGGATAGCACGCACCGAATCTCCCGAAGCTGCAAAATCTCAGTGATCCGGAACCCAGCCGAGGGGAATGGTCCGTTCTTTTGCTTGAATACATCGGACGGAGGGTCGAATGATGATGCATTGATCATTTTCTCCGCAGTCTTCGCCTCTAAGATTTGGCCCTTGAAATTAAACGACTGGCCTAGCCCATCGAGACAACTGGCGCTAATTCGGTGGATATAAGGTAGGCAGCAGCACAATTCAAAGCCTCGAGTTCTCAATGTGATGGAAAAGGGGCAAACTATCCGTATTGGTGTTGGGTGGATTCAAATCGATTCGAATCTCCTATCTAAGATTCAGAGACGAGATCAGAGCTTAACTGGGATACATCGTCCATTTGCACCAAGCTCACTGATATGGTGTCTTCTCACCAGCAGATTGAATAGGCCTTCTATCTCTGTATTACTCAAAGCGACTGACCGGCTTTCCTCGAGACGAGTATCAATCTCGTCGGATGCACTCAGCGTCGCGAAGACACCCTTTTCTACTGCTTTTACTGCTATGATTGTCCTTGAGGACTCACCAGTTGCGTCTGGGATGATTGAAGTGAAGCCTCGAATATTACTACCAAGCAAATTCAGCATAAACGGGTAGACAGATTGAACGTCTTTAAGCGAGTTTTGGCTACGCCACTAGCCTTCACCAGAGTCCGCCACCTTATATCAAGGGATATTAAGCCGGGGCTGTCAAAGATGACTCTTCCTAGGCTAAAGAGATTGGCTAGGGTGGTTAGTGACTCACTAGTTATCTCCCTGTCTGTTTAGCCAACCATTCCTCATACACTCTAACACCGTCTGGAACACACGTACTTCGTAACCTGATCTCGAAAACCTTGTCTAATGATTGCAGATGAGCCGTAGACTATAAACTGCAGTTCTTAAAGAGTATGACCCTACCCCGTTCATTATCTGTAACACATAGAAGATGACGAGAGTGTCAGGACATTGCAGCACACTAGCAGCTGACTCGGAGTAGGCTCATTCCAGTAACCGCAGCGTAGCTGTATCAGACGTGGTTTTGGGCTGTCTGCATGATTCTTATAAGTCAAATGTGACAAAATACTGGCATAAAAGACTACGTGTATTTATGTAAAATATGACTTGCTTCTTGATTCTAATGTTGCCGTTCGTTGCCGTTCATCCTTGCATCTCTTGCGTCTTGCTTCGGGGGCTCCGATATGCTCAATTCAAATATTATCACTACAAGCTAGTTAGTCTACACCGAATTGCACCTCAGATTTTGCTTCGCTCACTCCCAGCGTAGGATTCGGACTGACAGGTGGTATTAGCCTCTATCTCATTGTCTCATGCAACCTGTGAAACGTGCCTCATCCAGAGTTCCAGACTACCGTAGAGATCGGGACCGATCCACATATACTTTAGTGAGCTGATTGCATGGTCTCCTTACAATCAAGAATAGCCCATTCCAGTGACGAGATTTCTTCAGCTGGCCCCTACTGATAGAGGATGCATGTGTCCATGCAATATGTATATGTGTATGTAGACTGTATACAGCCTCTGGTACACAAAAATTGATGAGTCGCATTTTATAACGCGACAATTCCATAAGAAACTTTATGCAATACCACATTCAGCTGCGTCTGTGGGCGCTGGTACCAGCAATTGATGCAAATGATGAGGGATAGCTAATTTCAATGTGCAGTGTACGTATGCCGCTAAGTTTATATTCCAATTTAGGCATTCTTCTCCATGATCTGGACGATTTGAATGGAGATMTGTCAGTCGAAGATGGTGAGAGCGCGCCTCTCTTAGGCGATTTAGCAATTGTAGTCTATTTGAGTGGCACTGAAATTCGATGGAGAACTTCATTCAACGAAATAGTGGCGATGAACATGACGAGCCTGATCGATTCGTCAAATGCCTATCTAAGAGTAGTCTTGCGCCAGCGTGGAGGAATGATACAAGAAAGGGTATAGATCAGGAAGAGGACAGTAGTTGGCAGATAAGCAAGCCAGGTCAAGGATCTCATCAGAAAATTCAAAACGATCATTTGGAATCCCACATGATTTCGTTCAATTTCAAGAGCGCATCAGCGCTGGCTTTCTTCGCAGTCATGAAATCTTCCCGATTATCAGCTCCGCGAGGTCCTCTGAGAATTTCTGAGAAGCAAAGGTCAATAAGGACCTTGAGCTCATCATAGGTGAGCGGTTCGCCATTGCCTGCAGCCAACGCCTTCTCGCCCTGCGCAGCGAACAGCTCCTTTTCATCTTTGGCGTACTCCAATGTCTTTTCCGCACCATCCAAGAACCAGTCAAGGAATTTGGCACTACGCGGAAGTGCAACGACCTTGTCAGGATGGTCTGGTTCCTCTATTGTGGAATCCTGGGCTTTTTCTGATGTCGGCTCAACAATTATATTCTTGAGGTTCTGCTGTAGAACGAGAACGTCAAGTTGCAGCCGCAAGGCTCCATTCTCATTCATGGCTCCAATGTGACGTGTAGATGAAACGAATGCTTGATCAATAAATCGAGCAAGACCCGAGGTGATGAACCAATGTTCAGCGGGGCCGAGATATGACGAAATATTCGTATCAAAAGCGATCAAGTCATTGTTCAGCTCGAGAATCGTGGGAGATGCAGCTGTCGGCTGATTTACAAGGATATGCCACCAATTCATGTTCGAGTTCGGTGAGGGTGTCGTGGGTTCCGAATCGCGGTTGCTGGGGGGGTTAGGGCCAGCCATTGTGCGAGTCAACATGTGAATGACGCCGCATCGAATATCAATGTGGAGAGCAAAGAGCGCAGTCGAGGCCAGGTTACGCAGCGATTGGAGAGTGGTATCAAACGCGTTGGCCGTTTCATGATTCAGCGGCAGATACACTGGCTGACTTATGCTGTCACGCCTCGATTTCATGGCTCCAATCAGTGTCCACCGACGAGGAGGTGCTCTAGTCTCAGACTGTGGCTGCCGCGACTCTGAGACTGTGATCCGGCGCAGCTTGGCAAGGTGACTTGCAAGCCATTGCTGAAAATGTGTCAGCGAGGTTTCGAAAGGCAATGACTTTGTGACAAAATATTACCATGCTATTGTAGAGAAGCGATAGTGCTATCACTGTTTTGGGATCGGATATAATGTCGTACGGCTCTAACGATACCTCGCCTGTGCGTTTGAGCAGAAGCTCAATTTCCTAGGAAAATCAGCGGCTGATCTGACGTTCGAAGACGGGCAGAAGAGGGGAAGAGTATCTACCTTATCGATGAGTTCCTTCTTAGAGTCTGCTGGCCCCTCCCAGAGTTCCCGAACTGTATCATGGATATCACCAGATTCGGCGAACTCTGCTGCGGCCTTGAGGCGGACTTGACCATGATTGCGAGGCGAGACCTTCGTGACAATAGCTGGAGAGACATATGAGCCTTTGGACCATCAACTTGGAAGGTAGTGGCTTTCTAACCTTTGTACCACCCACAGCACTTGTCATAGTAAGTCACAATCTGGGTAATTAGAAGCTGTGTGAAGGTCTGATCATGCGGAATGCTGGACAGCATTTTACTAAACTCCCATATGATTGACATGAATTTGACAGTTCCCTGTTGTATTCGAGATTAGGAAAGATCAACCTGGAAGATATGAAGACGCAGGTACTTGCCTTGAAAACAGGCCGAGGGGAGGATTTTGACCATTGAGGATCTTCCGTGAACGCGTCTGGCGCAATGAAACTAAGAGTGCAGAGATCTGTGACTGTCTCATCCAGTTGGGGAAGAAAGACGTTGACGAGAAAGTCATCCAAAAAGGATGTCAAAGTGCTCAGAGCAATGTCCGCATCCACAGGCACTATGTCTTTCAATCGTTGTATGAAGGATAACGAAGGCGGAAGAAGAAGACTCATGTTGAACACGCTGGGTTCCATGAGTATCTTATGGCCGGTTCCAGAATTTCCTTGCCCGTCTCGTGAACTGTCTGTCGTTGTGAACTTCTGCCTGGTTTTCGACACTAAACCAGGAACCGAGGTCTTGAGGATCTCATCCAACTCATCTTGTTCCGCTTGCATTTCCGTGTTTTGCTCTGTTTCGGACAGTTTAAACAATTTCTGTATGTAAAGTGTCAGCAAGATTCGGCCATGGCTAGACGTGTCCTAATCAGACGCACCTTGTTCCTATCCCTATGGCCAGCATAGAGTTGACGCTTAGCATCGGCTTCTTCTTCCCTCAATCGGAAGGAGGACTCTCCATCGGTCGCCAGGTAATCGTGCAGTAGGGAACGAATCTATAGAGAATTGTGAGCTAGATGGCGTTGAGAGGGCGTAAGCTGAATCCAGGAAGACGACTGACCTCACTCTGATAGAGCTTCCACAACTCTTTGAAACCACCTGTGAGTGAACTGTTCTTAGGAATACCCTCACGCTCCACGATTCCGGCAATGGCGTCGTGGAGGACACGGTGGCCTTCAGCAATAGCTTCAAACTTGGCATATAGAGTCCATAAAAATTCCGTCAAAAC